TCCCAGGAAGTTGCCTGGGTCTCCTGCCCCTAAATCCAGCCCTGAGCATATTTGCTTGATATAAAGCAGGAGCCTGGAGCCATCTTGAGGCTGGGCCATATTTTAGATGAGTTGCCTGCTATCATCTTGCTTTGCCTGGATAATTATCTCTTATGAATTAAACAGGGGAGAAAATTGTCTCCGAACACATTGTCTCCAGCCTCTGCTGCTGCATATTCTGTAGGTCTAGAATAAAGATTGTGTAGGACCAGATACCCAGGAGCAAGTCAGACCATTCCTTTCCACCTCTTTTAACACATAAGTCTTGATCAGGCTCTTCAAGGACTGTTAAAAACCAAGCATGTCAAAAATTCAAAACTGAAGGAAAAAAACAACAACAAAAAATACTTAACTCCTTACTTCACTCTCCTTCCTTTATCCTAAAAGGTCAACTATCTGAAATAGGCAAGATCTTTTTAACTTTGTTTTGCATATTGTAATTTAAAATTTTCCCATGTTTCCTTGCATAATTACAGAGTAAAACACAGCCATTCCTTTCAAGTAAACATTGCCATAAAATGTACAGTGCAGAGCACTATACAGCAAATAATCTTATTAATAATAATAATTGAAGCAGTTTATTTCTGTCTGTATACAGAATTATACCCATTATAATGGAAAGAGGCGGTATTTTACACATTTATCTTCCTCATAACGCTTCTCCTTTTGCATATTAATAATGCATATTAATAATTAGCAAGTTGTTAAATTATTTAACATTACTCTGAGGCTATTGTCTCTGTTTTGGCATTCCTTTTCCATATAGCTATTGGAAAGCATTGTGCCCTGCAATCCATATTCTCTCTAAGCCTTTGACTCTTACTTTCAAGTGATTCAACTCTTCTCAGCTTGAGGGGTCAGTGTCCATGTTACTGGACTCTCTAATGAAGTGAAGACAAATGATTATGTAGGCACCTCTTGCTACTGCTCATGTGGGTCTGTAGTGTATCTCCATCAGTCTTCACAGATCTCTGCTTTTCTGTTTAGTCCTCCTAAGTTTCTTGCACAATAGCAAAGGTGGCAGTCACGAACATCGGAATTGTCACAGTGGACGAGCCCTGAGATGCACTGAGTCCAGGATCCTGTCTCCAAAAGCTACCAGAACTAGATGCTCCAGAGGCAGACGTAAGAACCCTGCAGTAGGCAGATATGGGGTCATTTGCCCTCCACATAAGGGCTTATCCTGATCTCGGATAATTGAGACTGTCTTAAATCCTGAAGAATTGGGTTTAATATCACTTCCACAATTTTTTTTATCATTTATAAATTTTAAGGCCAGAAGGGACCATGACAACAGTCTAGTCTGACCTCCTGAATAACACAGGTCAAAGAACCTGACCCAATAATTTCTGCATCAAGCCCCTAAATTCTGTGGAGAATATTCATCTGCTCCGAGACAAATTAGATGGCAATGAACACTTGCACACAAAGCACAACGCCTTCCACTACTCCACAGAGCCATTGCATCCATAGAATGAATTATAACCTCTGGATATTCTCAATATCCATGTAAACGTCCAAACCCTTTTTTAATCTTGTTACATTCTTGGCCTCAACGATTTCCTATGGAAGTGAGTTCTATAGTTGGGGAACCCCCCGCCCCCCGGCACAGCCCCCACTCGGGGCTCCCGCATCTTAACAGAAGAGGTCATTACTGAATGATCTTCTGTGCTAGTTATTTGTTTTCTTGTGGAATTTTTTTTTTTTAAACAACAAGCTCTTAATCATCAGGGAAGTATCTGTGCTCCCTACAGTACGTGGGAGAGCCACACCATATCCATAAACAGCAGCAACGGCAAGAAAATGCAGAATTGGATCAAAGGAGGCCTGTTCTGGTCTTACATTATTTTAAAAGAAGCGCAAGAGTTACTTAGCAGGGACCCTGCGGATCAGCTGCCATAGGGTGAGACAAAGCAGGTGAACGACTGACTCCTGACTCATATGGAAGGCAGCAGCTCTCTAGCTCATCTAGGTGATGGGTGAGGGAGGGAGAGGTAACAGATCAGCCTGACTCCTTATCTTTCCTCCAAAACCCGCTCCATTCCTCCATCACTGACACAAGCACCATTCTCCCCATTGCTCAGACCCATACACTGCGTGTTATCTTTGACTCCGCCTTCTCCCTTGCACACACATTCAGACTATGTCTGACTTGCATCTAAAATTGGGCCTTATTTCTCTGCCTGCACTTCACTCAGAGCCCCTGTCACTCACATCTCAACTGTTGCAATCTCTCCATTTTGCCACCCCTCCCACACACACTCCAATGCAATCTCCATGCAGCTGCTATTTGCCTACAAAAAGAAAAGGAGGACTAGTGGCACCTTAGAGACTAACCAATTTATTTGAGCATAAGCTTTCATGAGCTACAGCTCACTTCATCGGATGCATTCAGTGGAAAATACAGTGAGCCTCTAAGGTGCCACTAGTACTCCTTTTCTTTTTGCGAATACAGACTAACATGACTGCTACTCTGAAACCTGTCATATTTGCCTACAGTTTCCCTGCCTATTGCTCTGACCACATCATCCCCATTTTTCATATCTATCCACTGACTCCTCGGCTCTCCACAGCCCTCCCCTTCCTCAATCAGCCACTCTTCTAGGGTTGCCAGGAGTCTGGTTTTCGACCAGAACACCCGGTCGAAGAGGTACCCTGGTGGCTTCGGGGAGCACCACTAACTGGGCTGTTAAAAGTCTGGTGGGCAGCGCAACAGGGCTAAGGCAGGCTCTCTGCCTACAGTGGCTCCGCGTGACTCCTGGAAGCAGCGGCATGTCCTCTCCTCCAGCTTCTAGGCATAGGGGCAGCCAGGGGGCTCTGCGCGCTGCCCTTGCCCCAAGCACCAGCCTCGCAGCTCCCATTGGCCAGGAACTGCGGCCAATGGGAGCTGCAGGGGTGGCACCTGCGGACGGGGCAGTGTGCAGAGCCACCTGGCCGCGTCTCCACGTAGGAGCCAGAGGGGGGACATACGGCTGCTTCCGGCAGCTGCCTGAGGTAAGTGCTGCCCGGAGCTTGCAGCCCTGACCCAGCCCTGATCCCCCTCCCACCTTCCAAACGCTCAATCCCAGCTTGGAGCAACCTCTATCCCCAGCCCTACCCCAGAGTGTGCACCCCCAACCAGAGCCCTCACTCCATCCTGCAGCCCAACCCCCTGAGCCAGACTGGTGAAAATGAGTGAGTGAGGATGGGGAGAGCAAGCGACAGAGGGAGGGGGGATGGAGTGGGTGGGGCCTCTGAGAAGAGGGAGGGCAGGAGCGGAGCAAGGGTGATCAGTTTTGTGCGAGTATAAAATTGACAATCCTACACTCTTCCCTCTTATTGCATTTCCCCCCTTCTCATCCATGCTGTGTACAATGCCAGTCTTCTCCTGTCCACCTTTCACCCATGTCTTTGTGCTTCCAGGCTGCTCTCTATTCATGGTACTCAGCTCCAACCCTTCAAATCCCCTTCGACACCTATAAGAAATTTATCAACCAATGACAGCTAGGCTTAGGGGAGGGGGAAATAATAAAATGTCTATTTGTACATTAACATAGATTAGACGGGTTATTGCCCTTTCACTCACTCTTCCTATGTCCCATATTATTTATATAGTAAACTCTTAGGAGGAAGGACCACGCTTGTCTCTGTATACTATGAAGAAACATCAATATTGGGACCTTGGGGCACTAGTAAAAGATCAGTAATTTATCAGTAACAATAATGCTATACATAAGTGAACAATAGCAATAACAGTTCTCCATTCCCACCCACTGCATTCTTGGGGAAGTACTTTGGGGAAGACTTTCAAAGGTACGTATGGGAGTTTGGTGCTCAGGTTCCACTGTAAGTCCATGGGAGCTAAACATCTAATTCGCATTTGTGGCCTTCTCTATTGCTAGTGCTTCCACATCCAACATTTCGGTCACTGAAAAGTTACTGTGGAATAGGAAATTATAGGGGTGACCACACTGTTAGCATGTCCTTAGGACCACAGAGTCCTAGAGCTGAAGGCCAAAAGGGAACATTACATCATCTAACCTGAACCCCTCCCACCCCCCACGTATCACAAGTCATTAAATTTCACCCAGTTACTCCTGTATTGTGCCCAATAACTTGTGTTTGGCTAAAACATAACTTTCAGAAAGGGCTCTAAGTCTTGATTTGAAGTCAAGAGACGGACAATCCACAGTTTCTCCTGGTAGTTTGTTCCAATGGCTAATCACCCTCACGGTTAAAAAAAACCTGCCTTATTTCTAATTTAGATTTCTCTGGCTTCAGCTTCCAGCCATTAGCTCTATCTCCATTACACCATTTTTCCCGAGACGGATTTTTCCAGGATATACCTGTTTAGTGAGATGATATCCTGATCATTTTGTTGTCAGCAGGGATTTAAAATCATATTTAAAGAAAATAGATTATAGGCCTAGATATTGTGTTCTTGGAGTTGAGAGAAAACGTAGGTGTTTTCCCATGCCTACATTTGTAACAGCAGGCAAAATATGCCTGGTGGTAACACCCCCTCAGCAGCCAAGCCCATAGCAGCACATTATAAAAGAGCAATATACTGTAGCAGGTAAAAACAGTCCTGTAGCTGCTTAGACGTTGTCCGACAAATTACATTATATGAGAAAAATCAGCTCATTCCTGTGAATTTAAAAAGTTAACAATAAATATAATAACCTGAATTATTTTCTAGTAAAGTGACATTTTAAAATCTACAATTAAAACCTCTGCTTGTATAGTGCAACGGAGTCCTGATTCCTTACCGGTTCCCTGAGTATGAATGCAATGTGAAATAATATGATGGTCCTCCACTTGGAAAAGTGAAATCCCTCACCACAGTAACATATGAACACAGACTCTACTCTCAGTCTATGACATCGTTGCCACAACTTCTGGGCCATCTTCCTTATTCTACAAGTCATTCCATTTCACTGGCTCTCTTTGATTACTGAACATGTCCTGGCTCCACAACATACCTGATTGGCAGTGAAGGGTCACCAGCATCCCACCAGTCTTTGGGAGGGCTAATGTACATGCACCATAACTCCCAGCTGTATCCATGGGCAGAGTTCTCATAACGCTGCACCTCAAAGTTGTCCTGCTTGATATTGTCGATGGATGGAAGAATAACCCTTTTCCGGTTTTCTTGGATTCGTGAAAGAACTGGCTCAGCCCTAAAAGGCCAAAAAGAAGGAAACAGAAAAGGGACATGAACTGCTGTTACAACACAGATGGACACAGGAGCACTTTAACAACCCACGTACCTGATGGCAACACTTAGGTTATGTGTATGCTGCAGTCGGAGGTTTGATTGCAGGACAGATTGGCACACCTGTGCTAACTTTAATCTACCCTACTGGCTAAAAATAGCAGTAAAGACATGGTGGCATGGGTTTCAGTGTGCGTTATCCAAGTCTGCCAGGGACCCTCCATCTGTACTGGCATAGCCAGCCCATGCCAAAACCCAAGCAATTACACCTCCATCTACAGTGTAGACATACCCCTAGTGAATGCCTTACTTCTGCTAGCTCGGACAGCACCCCTGTAGGACAGGGCAAAGAAGAAGGACCCATTTCTGTTCTCACTTAAGATGGCATAATTCCAGTGACTTGTTGGAGTTACAAAGATGCAAGGGACAGCAGAATCCAACCAACAGAGGTTAAGTGACTGGCACTAGGCCACACAGCTGTTCAGGGTTTGTCTACACTACAAAATTAAGTTGACTTTATCTAATTCGACCTCGAGCCTCAGAATTAATTAAGTCGATTGTGCATGGCCACACCATGCTCATTGTCTCGATGGAGTGTGTCCTCACTAGCAATGCCTGCATCGATGCACAAAGCAGTGCATCGTGGGAAGCTATCCCAAAGTGCAACTTGCCACAGTGTGTTTTGGGAAGTTTGTGCAATGCCTCATGGGATCAAAACATTGTCACAGGGGAGAAGGGGAACACTGCGTCAACATCGCATGATGCACTGTGCTCAATGGCAAACAACCCAGAGGTTTTTGTGCCTTAAAACTGCCGCACGTATGCCGTAAGCCCAGAAGCATGGAGCCTGCTCAGTTGTGCACTCTTGCTGTGAGCATCTCAAACACCTTGTGCCTTCTCCTGCAGTATTTCCAGGGCTGAAGTAGGGTTGCTGTGTGGAACACGGCAATGTCCTGCAAGCATCCCCATCTTGGCACCAGACCACCTTGCCAAAGAGTACATAAACTGAAAGGGATACTTTTCAATGGTGTTGCAAGCACTGGTGGATCACAGGAGCGTTTCACCGACATCAATGTAGGATGGTCAGAAAAGATTCATGACGTGCGCATCTTTAGGAACTTGGGTCTGTTTAGAAAGCTGCAATCCGGGACTTTCTTTCCAGACCACAAAGTGAACATTGATGATGTTGAGATGCCTATAGTTATCCTGGGGGGACCCAGCCTACCCCTTGCTCCCATGGCTCATGAAGCCAATCTCTTGCCATCTGGACAGCAGTAAGGAACAGTTCAACTAAAGGCTCAGCAAGTGCAGAATGGAGGTTGAATGCGCCTTTGGTCATTTGGAAGGGCGCTGTAGAAGTTTACTAACAAGGTTGGACCTTTGTGAAGAGAACATCCCCCTGGTTATAGCTGCCTGCTGTGTGCTCCATAATACCTGTGGAAAAAAAGGGGGGAAATTTTCCGCAGGGGTGGGCAGTTGAGGCAGATCGCATGGCAGCCATTTTTGAGCAGCCAGACACCAGGGCAATAAGAAAAGCACAGCAAAGGGCACTGCGTATCCACGAGGCTTTGAAAAGCCGTTTCAATAATGAGTCACCATGGTGGAAGAAATAAGACTGCCCTGCCCAGAAATCTTCTGCAAAGGATTGCAGAGTACCTCCATGAAAGTTTCCTAGAGATATCCATGGAGGATTCCTGGGCTATCCCACTCCACATAAACACTCTTTTTCGGGGGCCACCCTTTGCGTAGCTGGAGCAGCCTCTTGGAAGCAGAGAACCACAGCACCTCGGTTTTTCTTCACAGTAAATGTGCAATACCTCCGAATGCGTGCGCCCACTAAAGTTTAACTGGACTTTGATTGTAACTGTATACTCACCAGAGGTGCCTTCCCCAGCATCACGGTTGGCCACCGTGATGTCCTGCAACCCACAGGGCTCCAGGGTTAAAAATATTTCCTGGCTCTCAGGGAGAATGGATCCACCACTCGCCTGTCTCCCATTCTCCTCCTCTTCCTCCTCCTCATGCACCATACCGTCTTCCTCATTGTCCCTAGACTCACCACCTGTGAGGTGTCCATGTTGCTTGTGGGGGTACTGCTAGGGTCACCACCGAGAATCGCATGCAGCTTGCTGTAGAACCAGCGTGTGTGGGGTTCAGCCCCAGAATGACTGTTCGCCTCCCTTGGCTTCTGGTAAGCTTGGCAAAGTTATTTTATTTTCACACGGCACTGCTATGTCCCCCCCGTGTAGCCCTTCTCCCCCATTCCACGAGCGATCTCTGCATAGATGTTGGCGTTTCTTCTGCTGGATCGGAGCTCTGCTGCACACAGACTCTTCTCCCGACAAAGCAATGAGATCCACCACCTCCTGGAGCACATTTGGGGCGTGTAGTCTCCATGATCAGCTGTGCTCAAGCTGGCATGCTCCCAGTGCTGATCAAACAGGAAATGGGAAATCAAAAATTCCCAGGACTTTAGTAGAGGAGGGGCTGTTTCCTGCGTACCTGGCTGCAGTGCAGCAGAGTAGAGAATGATCTCCAGAGTGGTCACAGATGAGCATTGTGGGACACCGCTTGGAGGCCAATTAAGTCGAATTACACAATGCTGCATCTGCACTACCTCGCAGTCGACCCATGAACATCGAATTAAGCACTACGCCTCTCGCAGAGGTGGATTACAGAAGTCGACATTAGAAGCAACTTAGGTCGGCGTAAAGGACCCGGTAGCGTAGACACATACATTATCAGGTCGACTTAAGGCGGCTTCCTTCAACCTAATTTTTTAGCGTAGACCAGGCCTCAGTGACAGAGCCTATATTTGAATTTGAGAGTCCCTGGCTCGCAATGCTGTGCTCAATCCATTAAACCACCCTCTTATAAACATACTCGGAGTAGAAAGTGAACACAAAAACCAGAGGCAAAGGAAAGTTCTTCATTTTCCTGAGATTAAATGGATACTTTTTAAGGTCTGCAATGCAGCTTTATCAGCCACCAGGAAGGCTTTAGAAGTTTCCGAGCTTCCACTCCATGGGATTTCCTGCCTGGGAGAAGCATGGACATATCAATTATGTGGAACTATTATCAATTAGGCTACAGGGGACAGCTGCTGCATATGGATTTCAAATAGCAACATACCCATATGTGTTAGGGTTTAGGCTCTCTCTTACGCAATTGAATATTCCTGTGCAAAATTCATGGACCCAGTGGAGAATACCACAGTACACACAAAGAAGCAATTTCACAAACCAGGAAGAATTTAAGGTATAAAGGCTTTACGAGACCCTCCAGAGCTGGATATGTCCCTTTCATGCAGAGACAACAGAGACAGTCCATTTTGTAGTGGCTTGATGTGGTTACAAAGTGTTATAAACATGAATTCAGTTGTGTTTTAAAGACAGGTTTCAGAGTAGCAGACATGTTAGTCTGTATTCGCAAAAAGAAAAGGAGGACTTGTGACACCTTAGAGACTAACAAATTTATTTGAGCATAAGCTTTCGTGAGCTACAGCTCACTTCATGCATCTGATGAAGTGAGCTGTAGCTCACGAAAGCTTATGCTCAAATAAATTTGTTAGTCTCTAAGGTGCCACAAGTACTCCTTTTCTTTTTGTGTTTTAAAGAGCATTTCCCCATCATTTTAACCAAGAAGGTATGATACCAGGCAATGTGGTGAATAAGGGCTAGTTTTTCAATACCGTCTTCTGACATTCCACCTACAAAGTCAGAATGTGTACAGTGAATATCTGTATATGCAGATTGGCTAATTGCACAATAGTGTTCATTTGGGAGTACAATTACCTGCTTTGCACACAATGGTGGCACTTCTGCACATACACTGTGCATGCACACTTTGCTGGAGAAATTTAGGAAGCCCATTCTGAAAGCATGCCAACAGAGACCAGATTTCCCAATATGAATGCTTAAATTGCCCTTGAGATCCTCGACTTGCTTCCACAAGTGGATATTGGCAGTAGGTGCAGGCAAATTTTCTGGCTGCACTTTGCTTCCTCCTCCCCCACCCCCACTTCTGAAAATGTGTCTCTAAATATAAGAAATAAAAGTAAATATAGGCATGGCTGTGCTGCTATCCCAACAGCGTTTCCTTGAAACATGCACACGGAAAACCACATATGGACCCAAGCCACAAAATTCTGATCTGGAACCCTGCTTCTGCTCCAGCTGAGAGTGTTCAGAGCTGGGGTTTGGGATCAGCCTCCCCTTTGTGAAAACAAGAACCACTGAACAGACAGGGCTCATTCTGTCAAGGATCTAAGCAATCAGTGAGAGCTGAGGATGTTCAGTGTCTGCCAAGATCAAGCTCATAATGCAGTCAAAGGAGCAATCTGCTACTCTCATTCCTTACTGATCAGAAAAGCTGCTTCAACAGTGAGTTCAGTAAATTATACTTTCCCGTACACATGCATACAATCCAGTTTTGAAAAGCTAGCAGCCTAATCACTGCAGTATTTAGATGGGAATACAGGTACTGGTGTGAGAAACAGCCTTCTATGTCCTTATTCATACGAAAAATGCGATAACTCTACACAGAATGTGTTTTCTATTTGCAGGTGATAGAACATTTTCCTGGTAAATGATTTTTTCTTTTCCTCCCTTCATATCACACAATGAAACATGCATTAGCCTTTCCAGCCTCCAATATTCTAAGCATGGCACACAGTGTTTTAAAAAACACATTTTGTTGCAAAATATCATTCATGGAACCTTCTTGTTGTGCAGACTTAGAAACGTAATAGAATTTCCTCTGATACTTTGTGCTCTGGATGCATCAATCCCTCTGAAAGAGTCCCTTTGAAACACTTTCTGCTGTCCTTGCACTTTTGAACTTATTTTCAATTTAAGAAGAATCAAACCAATACAAAACATAAGCCTTCCCCAGAGAGACGAAAGTAGAAAGGCCTATAACATTGGAACCATTCTCTTTTTCAATTCCCGGCTGCCTCGTCTTTTTAGCTTACAGAATTCACTCAGGTCAAGGAGGGGGCACTGATCTGAACAAAATAAAATGTGAGTGGAGGTAGGATAAGTACAGAAAACAGGGACTTTAGCAGTCCTAGAGCGTACTGCCTCACCCAATCCAGGGTACGTTGGGGTAAAAGGAAGAATCTAGCTTTACTAATTTAATGGCGACATTTGCAAGAACGTCCAGGCTAAATTATACATTTTCAGCATGCCTGATTTATTCCCTTATAACCTAACCACACCATGAAATCATTACATCTGATCTTTTTTTACTATTATACTGACCAGCCAGCAGTGAATTCCACGTGGGCATCAAAGAATCCAGTGATGTGGCCAGTAGCGGCTTTCCAACCTTCAATGCGAGCTCGGATCAGGCCTTCTCTTTTCTGGTTGCGCACCACCTTCACGAGCCCCGGGTATCGTTTGTTGACATACTCTTCCAGAGGTGCCTTCAATTCCTCTAGAGGAGAAAACCCAGAGAGCCAATTCAAAAGGAGCAACAGTTTCCATAGGGAATCTAGTGCATTAATCAACTCTTATCACTGGTGAACATTGGTGGAGCTTACTGATACAGGATACCTTAGGGAAGAGGCTAGTAGGAAATGCAATACGTAGAAAAGGATTTAGGCCTAGTCAATGTTAATTGGGGAAAAGGGAATTTCAGGGAGCTGTTAGAAGTCTGAGCTGAGTGACTAAAAGGACAAGAAACAAGTCTTTGACCAGGATGTTGCTATTGTGTTACATCTAGGGCAAAATTTTCAAAAGTGACTAAGGCACTTAAGTACCATTTTCTAAAGAGTCTTAAGCTTTTAAGTGCCGAGCTGCCTTCTGAAAAGGGGACTTAGGCACTTTTGAAATTATACCCCTACTTCTGAATCTTTGTTCCTAATTTCTGAGCATTTGTTTAACCCCCATTAACGTCTTGGAAAGTCCCTTTACACAATTTCCTTTTTTAATACTTGTTTGTAAATTTGGGACCAGATTCTTTGCCCCCAACCAGTTCCTTTGTGACATTCAGACAGCACTAACGAGCTGGCATGTGGACGTATGGCCACCACGTAGATGGTGTAAAGCCAGCATCGCTGGCTCCTATGCTGATACCGAATAGGACGTGCTTTCAGGGGTGTGTGAGAAGCATTTTCTTTGGGATCGTGGCCAGCTTGCATAACTTAGGACAGTACCTAGGCTACACTGATTTATGCTACAATTGGGACTGGTTTGGTGCAGATCAAGCCAACAGGATGAAGGAGTCATCCAAACTCTCCTGTGTCAAGTAATTCCCAACAGTGGAGAAAATTAATCTTAATCTTTATTGGCTTTCCCCTCTCTCCTAAATGCAATTTTAATGTATTTTACCTTTTTCTCATCAGCTATTTCCAGGTTTTTTATCACTCTGTCCTCTTTGCAAAAACTGAGAGGCTTAGAGCAAATACGAAGGGACAAGGCTCCGCAGAGTAGCGAGAGACCAGGTAAACGTCCCTGCTGTACTTGGGACACTGTTTCATTATAAAATAAAATGTCACCAATACTGTTAAAAGAATCAAAGAAATACTGTGGCTGATGTTAGTGATTTTGCCTCCTGTAGGCTTGAGTGGACTGCTGTGAACATTGCAAAATGAGATCAGTCGACTGGCTTAATCAGCCGCTGTCATTTAAATTGCTGCAAACGGCACCCCTCCGTTTCTCCCTTTCCTGTGGCTCAGCCTTGCCATTTCAATATCCGTGTTGGTTGCATACAGACTTTGCCCTTCGACTACCTGAAATCCTTCCACTTTTATTTATAGCAATGAAGAGATTTCTGCTTCATTCAGCAGAGCCTAAATATCATGCACTCTAAGTACTTCTACTTACTGGGAAACTGCTGATCATTTAATTAAGTTGTTTAAGACGGCGTACGCTCTACTGCTGAGTACATAATGGCTCTAAGTTTCTAGAGTCACTACTGGTACCAAACTTATTAGTACTTTCTGATGCCTGTGGTGTATAAAAGACATGTAATGTAAAAGCAATCTCTAGGGTACGCACATGGAAGCATACAAAAATAAACAAATAAATATTGAATGTTGGAGTGTCAGTTCAATTATGGAAAAGCACCCCAAAATCTGGGTGCTTATCCACACCGTACTGGGACCAAAGCTCCTAAGTTTGTAGCGCTGGACTGGAAGTCTCATGAGACTAGACTCTCCTGGGAGATTTCCACTACTTCCTGCTTCCAACTAAATTAGAAACACTCGGCAGTCCTGCTTCTAGCCCCGGATACAACCTACCTGCAAAAAAAGGAGAAATTGTAGCAAGTGTTTTTGATTCTCAAAATAAGGTTTGGTTTTGAGTTAACAACATGCAAAACACTCAGGCTAGGGGCCTAAACCCCTGATTTGCAAGGTATATTCCATTGAATACTACTGAATTCTCTGTTTTTTTAAAAATGCTCTACCTTTTTGCAGAATAAGAGGAATTTTAAGGATGCAGGACTGTATCAGAAATTCTGCCCTTTCCCATGAAACCTTACATGGGGTAGTATATCTGATTTGTCCACAAAATAAACTAATGCAGAATAGTTAAAATAAAATGCACAATACTGGATACAATCTTTGATATTGCGCCAATCACAAACAGGCCTCTATTGTGCTGGGAATTGAACAAAATTAGTTTACAATTCTGACTGCAACCGAAACATGCCAGGTAAGGGAGGCTGGGTGATGTAGTGGATAGAGGACTGACTGGGACTCAGGATATCCAGGTTCTGTTCCTAGCTCTGCTTTGTATCCTTGAGCAAGTCACGTCACCTCTCTGTGCCTCAGTTTCCCAATCTGTAACATGATGATACTTGCATCCTTTATAAAGCACTTTGAGATCTACTGATGAAAAGTGTGATATCAGAGCTAAGTTTTATTATGTACCGAGACAGACTGCAGGCATCATATTGTTAAAACAAATTGCTGGAGAATGACCCTCATTTCTGTAGAACTCAAGGGCTCCATGATATTATCTTATGGCATGGCTAGGAATTCCTATGCGAGGCTTATTGACCTATTCCTGCCCCCCACCTTTCAGAAGAATCACTGTTAATGCAATACACAAGGTCAGAATAGTTGCTGAGATATGAGTGGAAAGTAAGTTGCTACTTTAAGAAAACACAGCAATGGAAAACAGAGGAGTAAACAGTAAACCCCATCTATTATGCTTAGCCAGAGAAGTCAAAGGAAATGGGATCAGCTATTCCCTCTCCTCGTGCATTCTTCCAAGCACTTAAAAATAGTGCTTTTGTGAGACTATCTTTCTGGCATTGTTCCTCCTCACATATTTGTTTCCCTCAGGTAGAGTCTCTGTCTCTTATGCTGAAATAGGGAAGAAGGGGGGAGGGGAGGAAACTTGCAACCCTAAGCTTCTGCATCACATACATATATTATTGTGGCAACTTCAGTTTCATGCTGAGCCACTCATAGGAAACCAATATTTTATGGAGGTGACATCCCCTCTGTGAGAGGCTTCAAGGCGACAGAGACACAAAATTTTTTGACAGACATAACCCCACATGTATAGCATCAGTTTCTGAAGTGTTTTTGTCAGAAGGTAAGCCATTAATGTTGCATTATCATGGATTTATAGGCCACATTAAACCATGGGTGCTGGAACAATTTTTATAGTGTGGGATCTGAGAGCCACTGAACGAAACTATAAACCAGGGATATAATGGAAACTACTTCAAGCCCAGGGGTGCGGTAGCACCCCCAGCACCCTTAGTTCCAGCACCTCTGCATTAAACAATGACAAGACTTTCACAACTAGAGTTTAAGTTTCTCTGCTGAAGGAAGGAAGGAAGGCAAGTGGGGAAAACGCTAATGGGAGTTAGATGAGGAAGCCGAAAGTTTAATGTACCCAAGAGTGACAGAGGGAGAAGGAGTGTTAATATGTAATTTGGGATACATCTATACTGCAGCCAGGGGTGAATGACAGCTCATGCAGACATCCCAGCACGAGCTGTATGCTAGCAAGCTTGCTAAAAATAGAAGTGAGGATGTTGCCGTACAGGCTATAGCACAGCATCTACTTGCTCGTACAGCCTGTGCTGAAGCCCAGGTCACCACGCCCTCGCTTCTACAGGAACTCCTCGCTTAACGTGGTAGTTCTGTTCCTGAAAAATGCGACTTTAAGCGACACGATGTTAAGCGAATCCACTTTCCCCAATTTTAAACAAGCAATTTAATACAGGTATTAAATAGAAGGCGCTGATCCCCTACACCTCCCCGCAGCGCCTCCCACCCACTGGCAGACCCTGCGGATCAGTGCCTTTCTCCTGCTCCCCTCGCCTCCTGCCTGCTGCAATCAGCTGGCTTGCGGCATTCAGGAGGCTGGGGAGGGAGGGGGAGCCTGCGCGCTGCGTCCTCACTCCTCCCCCCTCCCTCCTGAATACCACAAACCAGCTGATTGCCGCGGGCAGGAGTTGAGGGGAACAGGGAGAAGGCGCTGATCTGCAGGGTCTGCCAGCAGGCGGGAGGTGCTGGGGACAGGCGTAGGGGAGCGGATCGGTGGGCTGGCAACCGTGCACAAAGCAGGTGGCCAAATGACATTATAGCAGAGCATTGCACAACTTTAAATGAGCATGTTCTGTAACGGAGCAGGGATGTAAGATCGAAACAACGTTAAGCAAGAGGACGTTAAGTGGGGAGTTACTGTATTTTTAGCAAGCTCACTAGAGTCCAGCTAGAGCAGGTACACATATTTGAGCTGCCATTCACATCCCCAGCTGCAAAGTAGACATATTCTTAGTGATGGGTGAACCTCAAGTGGCTTAGAGTTCTGGTTTGGTACAGATAATCACCTAAAATGATTATACAAATGACTTGGATTGGCAAAACTGCAAGAACAGACCTGTGTGCAATGCTACATTCTTTCTCTATTTTATCTGTGCACGGTTCGTTTGGTAGATAAATAGTAACTGTATTTCAGCTAACACTGATGGTCAATATTGAGATGGGACCCCAGGAAGAAAACTCAGGTGGGGGTTGGACTTTGGATTTCGACTCTCAGCCCATCCAGAACTGAGGCTGTCTCATTAGAAAGACAGGTCCTACCTGTAAAACTTAGGTGCAAGTGTAAGGAGTGAAAACCTAGCTCCACTGACATCAACGGCAAAACTCTTATGGCCTTCACTGGAGCCACAATTTCACCCAGTGATCCAGATTTCCATTCCTCCAAATAGATGAGTGGGGGCTGGTAGTAATCTGAGATTTCGGGTCCCTTAGGTGCTTTTAAATACACAGGTATGTCCATCCCATTGGCAATCAACTGCAGCCTACCACTCACTTGGGATATGTGAAGCCCGCACTGCTCAGTTTCTGCAGAGGTTGATTTTGTACCATTCCCTCTAGATGAACTCTGCTGGATTGTAAATCAGAAGTCACTCTCACATCTAATCTTAACTAAATCATGGTAAATTATTCCTAATTTTATCTTGCA